TCAATTTGTTTTGATCGGAAAGAGGTTGCACGTTTTCGCCTTATGGGTCAGAGCGGTTTTATTTTTGTTGCCGATTTACTTTACGAGTTGACACTATTTTGTTTTTTGTGTCTTAACACTGTTTTAAAAGTTTTACCATGGTTAATGAAGTTGTCTTATAGATATACAATTTACACACATTCGTTCATGATAAACATAGTAAATTCCATAACAAGTGAATTTGTAAAACGGTAACTTTAAAGATGTACAACCATGAAAAGCTAAATCACACTTAATTTTACTAAAGAACATGGATTATTTTACCAATCAATGGCATGCCTAATCTTAGTAATTTTTACTTATTTATTTTTTTATTAGTTTTCAAATTTAATACTGTCGCAACATTTTCTGTTGATAATGCACTCCATTGTTGTTATCTGATTGGGACGACCCAAAACAGAATTTGTCCAATCATTCTACATATTACAATCGTGCCCTATTAAATATTATATACATTGTACAGTTCAAAAAACTGTATTCAATTAAGTTTTGAATGAGAAACAAATAAAAATAAATTGTAAATAAATGACGTAAATGGTTACGCAAAATAACATATTCAGAAGCGCAAGGGACACGTGGGTTGTAAACCTTTGTTTTATCGCTCCAAGACATCAGCTGGGCCGCTAATTCAATCACCTCAGCCATCTGCAAAGTCGTAAAACTTGACGACACAGCCAACTTGTAGGCCAATGTATTTTAAAAAGGCGTTAAAAGTTGGAAGGATATTCGTCCCCTTCTTACAATTTACCTCTTTACGTCTCTGTAAAATGTATCAGGTCGGTTACAGTTTGTTGTTAGAGATTGTAAGTGTTTGGGATTTCGGAGGACGTTTTATCGTATGATGAGTGATATTTTTTGTTTATATTTAGGCGTAAATTGTGTCGGATTATTTGATCTTTATTCTATCGAAAAGCGAAGTAAGTTTGGAAGATTATATTATTTGTCCCACTTTCACATCCTAGGACGCTAAATTCTAGACCGGAACTGATTTACACGTTACTTCAGGCTAGCCCTATAGGGTTGAGGCATCTTAACATACATAAAATCCATTGGTAATTGGCGTGATTTAAACCCAGGACCTCGGGCTCCGAAGCCCCAAGCTCTCTACAACTAGCAGGTCTAGTTGATTCGCTCTCGACAATTAAAAAATTTCTAGACTTATGTTTTGGAGGCTCATTTTAATTATCAGTAGCTGTGATGATATGTCCCTTACCCATTTGTTCGATCACCTTGTCACTTTTTAGCTTAAGCTCAACTAAAAAAGGTCTCAAAGGTATTGAAAACTCTCGCTGTATTGGACGACTCTCTTTAGTTGAGCTAAGAAAAGGAAGAGCCAAACGAAAATAATATATAGATTTTCATTGTATTGGATTTTGTATCCCAACTGAATAAGTAATAAATATAAATTCTGTATTTCAGAAACCGTGAGATAATTTAACTGGACGCTTGCACCTTTAACAGTACTTCTAGTATGTAAACAAAATAATGAGTTATCTTTTAACAAGAGTGTAGGCATATACAAGTTTTTTATGCTAATAGAATAGCTCAGCACAATGTAATCACAAGACGTCAAAAATTAATATACATACGTTATAGTAATAACTTTTGCTTTTGAAAATATACCTGAAAGTAGAACAATTTTATCTTGAACGACATTGAAATATACAGAAACTAAGAACAATCGTTCTCTTAGACGATTTCTTGAACAAATCTTACCCAAATTAAGAATTAAATTCGCTTCAGGCAACTGATTCAGTTTTGCCAATTAGGGAATCGCAAACAAAAGTTATCACGAATGAAAGAACAAAAGCATAATCAAGCTAAAACAAACCGAATTACTATTTCAGTTGTTCCATAGAATTCCCACTGTGGATTTACATTTGAATGCAGTCTCGTTCAAATTCCAACCGCTCACCCCATGTTAGCGCTGCACCCAAAACACCGTATTGTTTACGGATTAGCTAACCGAAAAGACATATTATTCTCTAAATCCAACGTGAATACAATGGCCCGAAACGCCCACAATCAATATGCAACTGATTTTATTTCTGTGCATTTTTAGCGAATTTCCCTATAGGGAAGTAGCAATTACCGTAGGTGGCACGGTAAGACCTAGACCCGGGACCGATTTACTTTTTCATTTTGATGTCCCCAGAGGCCAAAAACACCATTCGTTCAAATTTTTATATATGTATATATATATAGACTTATATATATATATATATATATATATATATATATATATATACGTCCGTGAACGCGATAACTTGAGTAATTTTTGTCCGATTTTGATGAAATTTGGTTTAAAGGTGTAAAGCGGGATAAACTTGAATGAGTTCGCGAACCAGCACGATCGGACCATGGGAACGGGGCTTTACGGGGGGTTTTATGGGGTAAAAATTGGTTTTTCTGACTTTTGACCCTAAAAACACAAAATTTCCCGATTTCTCTTTAGACCTTTTTAAAGAGCCTAAAAAAACAAATAATTTAGTATATAAAAGAGTTTTTGTTCGATTATTAGTAACGGAGAAAATTAAACAAATTGTAAATTTAAAATTCCCATGTTATTCTTATGGAGAATATTGTCAAATGTTGTAGTTTGCTTGTTTATGGATATATTTTGATCAAACTTGGCAAATTTATTTATTTTGTACTAAGCTATCAATATTTTACTCAAAAACACACTATTAGTTTCCTTGTAGCAGCAAACCTAGGTACTCGTTAAACCTAATGTTATTAAAATATATTTAACTGAAAATCGATTCAGACAAATGGAAATTCGCTTAGTCGGCAGGTTTGCTGCGGCGGGGGTATTTTTTAATGAATTTTGTATAACTATTATTATTGGTTTTTATTGTAAAACAGCAAAGTATGCTAAGTTAAATGACGGTTAAACTATTATTTAACTTGATGCGTTTTGGTACAAACTGTACCAACGTTCCTTTCAATGTTTTCCTAGATATGAAACAATTTAGCAGATAAAAATCGCAAATTTGTAAAGGAGGATCTATGCTTTTTGTCTTAAACTAGGCTACTAGGAGGTATGATATAACAATTCGCGTACATGATTTGTAAGTCCTATCTTACACAATAACACAATCGTACTTGTATTAAGTTTTAGGAACATGGATTTTTTTTATAATACATAAGAATTGTGAAATCTCACTCATGATCATCATCGTACCAATGATTCCGTAATTGACCCAATAGAGTTTTAGATATTTCAAAATACCTTACGACTGATTTCTTGTACGTGTTTTAACTGGATATTAATGCACATGTTGTAGGCAGTTTCTTTTCCATGACCAATGTGACTGAGCAAACTTTAGCGAATTTTTAACCACGTCATCTCTGCCATAATCACCCAGAACGACTAATATTGCACGTAGTTATAAATAAAAAGTGTACATTTATTTATTATAACTACGTAGGAAGTAGATTACCTAACAAAAAGAAAATAACTGCACACCTTTCCAAAAGTAATAGACTCGAGGTCTCTTCTGAAATTCAATTAACCTTTTTCAATAAAAGAAAATTAAAAAAGGTGAAAAGGTTCGTTGAATGCAGCTGAGTTTGCCCGGCGCGTGATATTGTGGGTATTGTTTCCTGCTATGCAAATGCACTATTGTGAAGGCCCAGCTGTTAGCCGCCATATTGCCGACTGTTTTATGTCTTCCTGCTGTACAGATGCCTAGGTACAGATAGGTATGTTGAGTGTTCTCTGGTTTATTTCTTCATCGGTGTTTGCCCTTCATGAATCGTGCCTAACATGTTTTTTGCAAGGTTACACTACGCACTGCAGAATTTATTATGAGAAGTTTATAATTTATAACAACTTTTTGTATAACAAATATTTGATTGTTCTGAAAATATTTATTAATAAAATCTATACGAAGGTAATTTGTGTATGCTTATTTTGTATGCTAATAAAATAACTGCAAAAACCCATTTAATCGATATATTAAAATACCTGCAACATTCTGTTCTACATTTTATTTTACCCTAGAATGCACGCCTAACCTAGCAAAAATCTAATATAAATTTCACCTATGAAGTCGACAGGTTTTTGAAGAGAGTAAGGTACATTTTACCCATAGCTTAGTTTATCAGCTCAAAATATTCTTGAGAAAAAACTCCTGAAATGCTAAACCATCCAAGAATCTTACAATGCTTAAATATTGACTATATTTCCATTAAATATTTCAAATAATGTCAATAGTTACAAGTGATGCTTAAGAGTTTATTTTACATTGAACAGAATACAAGTCTGCTTGCTTTGGCTGTAGCATTGTTTTATTTTTGTATAGAAAGTTTTAACACAATTTCGTCAATTAAGAAATTCATCATTTTTCAAATGAACAAAGAAAACTCCTCTAAGGAACTCTTGGAAAACAATGGCAATTGAGCTGCAATTTTGTATTCTGCTTCTCCTTTTACCTGTCCTGATTGTTATCAAAGCTTCCAATGTATATGTATGATGAGATGTTTTTAAGTAAACATTTGGTCAAAATGCACAGTGCTCTGACAATTGCGTTGATTTATGTGAATTATGTATAACATTTCGGATTAATTAAGACACGTTTTACGTGTAAAACCTGTATTCCGTAAACAATTGGGGATTTTTTGAGTATAAAATATTTTCCAGAAAAGAATAATTTTCGTCGATTCTATGATCGAGTTAATTAATAATAAGCATTGTGGAAAAAGGTTGTTCCGTCCAACATCATGGTTCGAGTTATATTAACCACGCATTTCCACAAACGATTTTCTCCGGAAAATGTTTATGCATTGACTGCTATTGGAAAATTATACAACACGTGATCCAAAAAATTATCGATTTAGTTTAACTGAAAATCCTAATATCTAATATCTAATAATATAAAATCTCAATACTATCACACCTTTAACAACTCCTATTACTGTATTCTAACATATTTTAACGAACAACGTTGTTGTTTCAGGTGAACCGGACATGCGAAGATAGTGACGTCATGGCCAGACTTGTAATGGTGTACGCCTGCGTGGCGATGTTGACGTCATCAGTGACCAGCGTCGCCTTCTGTCCCCAAGGTTGCACCTGCGACGACGAGACTCTGGTAGTGTCCTGTATAGAGGCTAATCTGGACGTCATTCCCATCACTCTCAACCCGGCCATTCAGAGGCTTGTTCTCAAGTACAACAGGGTAAAAGCGGTGGACGCAGCGTTCCAGTTCTACGGCGAACTTCAGTTCGTGGACCTTTCTCACAACCATCTAGTCAGTCTTTCAACAAAAAGCTTTGAAGCCCAAAAGAAACTCGTAGAGTTCCACCTAAACCACAACAGGATGTCACAGATTTCCAACACGACGTTCTTGGGATTAAAGTCGTTAAAAGTACTCAGCCTTCGTGGAAACTTCTTGGAGGACTTACCCGATAAACTTTTCAGTGTTCTGAGTTTGCTGGAAGAGTTGGATCTTGGCCAGAACAGAATTATGAGGATAGACTCTACGGCTTTTGCTGGATTGCCGAACTTGAGGATATTGTCTTTGGATGACAACATGTTGAAGACGGTTCCGACACCGACGTTCCCGTACCTCGCGAGTTTGGCGGAGCTCCATGTCGGACTGAACGTGTTTACCGCCCTCTCAGACGACGCTTTCAAAGGTCTGTCCAAACTCTCTGTCCTTGACGTCAGCGATGCCAGTCTGGTCAATATATCTGAGAACGCATTCCGAGGCCTAGGATCTCTAAGGAAGCTAGTGTTAACGGGAAATCGTCTAATTAGTATACCTACCAAACAGATGTCCTCCCTAACCAGGGTGGAAGAACTGTCGATCGGTCAAAACGAGTTCAGATCGATAGAGCACCATGCTTTCCAAGGTCTGCAAAACCTTCGCCAGCTGGAGATAAACGGAGCCCCAGCGTTGGAAAGGATAGCGAAAGGCTGTCTCTCTGACAACTTGAACCTCGAGAGTATCACTATCAGTAATAACAAACGATTGACTACAATCGAAGACGGTGCATTCGCTGGGCTTCCTAATCTAAGGCATTTGGTATTGAGAGACAACGCTTTCACCACTTTTTCTGAATCTTCGGTAGCGTGGCCTGAGCTAAGGAAGATCGATGTATCGGAAAACCCCTTAACCTGCAACTGCAACCTACGGTGGCTGAAAGAGCTGCTGATAACACGAAACACTAGTCAAGTCCTGTGCGCGTCACCTGGTCATCTTAAAAACAAACCTCTAAAGTCTTTAACTCCAGACGACCTCGGATGCGCACTCCACGATACCCGAAAACAAGTGATCATCGGAGCCGTCTGCGCCACAGCGGCGTTCTTCGCGGCGGCGGTCGGCTTCATGATCTATCGCTACAGAAGGACCATGCAGTCGGCGCTGAAGAACGTTAAGTGGGAAAAGCCGAAGATCAGCAAGGAGTGTCAGTACCAGAAGACCTGCACTGGTGATGAGGACTACCGTAATACGCAGCCTTACAAGCACGAACCCACGACTGAACTGTAGCTAGAGCTGTTCGCCTCCACCCCCTCGGCACCCAACATCTTCTACCTGCCGGGGGACAGCAATACTGGGAGGCGAACTCGAGGTTCAGGATCGTCCGGCCAGCGAGGCACTAAACCCGTCAACGGCTTCTCATACATCAGTGGCGATATGTTCCCTCAGGAGTGGCATACTCGGGCCGTCATGACCAACGGGCACGGGCACCACTACGAGGGGTAACCCGCCAAGTGCTGATCTACCTACAGACACTTACTTCACGGGTATTCCAACCACTAGTGTGTATTACGTTACTGACGTCCTCGAGCGGATTGTTTCACGAAAGACTGCGTACACAAAATTACAATAGTTTGTTTTCGAGTTACGATTAAAATATTTTTGTAAGTGCCATGCGAATGTATATTACTGTACAGTTTTATTATAACTCTTAGAATACGTTTACCACTATGTAAATACGTCGTATAAAGCTTTATTATATTATATTATTTAATCTTTTTATGGTCTCTAAGATAAAAGACTTGAGGTATTGTACTCACCACATTCCTACGCATTTCTATTGTAAATTCGTGACGTAATTTGTATATTTTAAATTATAAACTGTAACATATTTTTAAAATATTGTACATATAAACAAAACACCATACTTAAACACTATACTATTCGATCTATATGCACAATACTATTGACATAGTGCTCTGAACATATTTTTCTTCTATTTCTTTGTAAAATTAAATTTAGTTAATACATTTCAGTTATCAAGGGATAAATTGATGTACGATATTGCAAATATCTCATTTAGACAAACATTTGCAAAACTGGATTGAGTTTAATTTATTTTATCCATAAAAATATTATTTTATATTTAAAAAAACATTATTTCTATGAGTGTATTTGAAACATAATTAAGGCTATGGAATTCTAAGATACAGTCACATTATTTTACGAATATAGATTTAAGTAAAATGTTTACTAGTTAAATAACTTTAACTTTTCATTTTGTGATACTACGAATAAAGCACAGTGAAGTAATCCTACACCTAGTATTGGACTGTCTGTTATTTTCTATGTTTGTAACTACATAGTTATGTATATATCGTCGACCATTTCCAACGATGGTTCGTCATAGGAGGGACACCTCAAGGGTTAAACTAGTCACCCCTTATTCTAAACCTTGTTCACTTTTTTGTACAACCAACGTGAACGCCTTTTGAGCCTTATTTCTCTAAGCAATATATGAAGTGATTTTTAAATTGCTGTAAATGTTTTACTCACTGTTTTGTTTGGTTACTATTGTAAGTATATTCCATAGAACTGTGAATTAAAGTCTTTGTACAAACCTTGATTGTTTTCTTAATCCTGCATTTTATTTTTTGTTATTTAATTTGCAGTAATTGTAAAAAAAGTCCTTTTTTAGGAAGGAATATTTGATAGGCCTAATTCATAAATTTTTAAATACATGTTATTCATCTATACTACAGATCTTTAAAACAAATGTTTAAAAGGGTTTGGTCTGGATCAATGAGAAATCAGGAATAGTATATAGTGATGTCCCCGTATAAAAGTCCAACATTTTATGAGCTTCACTCAAGGAGCATTAATTTAAAGTACTTGTTTCAAAAAATCTTAATGCATCAATACTATAGAGCATAAAAAAAACAAGGCTCCCTTTAAAAGGCAAATGTTTGATAAAATCTTCATATAAGGAGCTTTGACTTAATTCAAAGAGATTAAATCTATCTCGTTACTGAAAAGATAAATAGGAATCCATATAAACAGGGATTATAAAACTTAGCTTCTGTACAAACACAGCATCTTTGTCTTTGTCTAGCGAAAATCTGTCCAGGGGTTTTTACAATGCAGTAGCTTATTTTTAAGTTTTAAGATAAAGCAAAGGAGGTGTAGCTGAAATTAAGAGACTCCTTAAGGGAGAAATTTCGGGCTTCTCTTAAGTTGTTTATTCTAAAACTAGACATCCTAAACGATTATTTCATGAAGTAAATAACTAAAGAGTTCTTCTGTAGATAATTCTGGCAAAATCCTATTTATCTCCTTTATAACCAGAGTATGAAGTCCATTTATTGGACAAAATCTTTTGTCAAGCTAAAAATTAAAGGATCTATAAAATCTTCCATAACTGCTAAAAGGTCTTGGAGTCATCACTCATTCACCAACCAACTACCAAAAAAACAAAAATTCCAAGGAAGTGCTTTCGCTTTATATGCAAAAGCAACTTTCATTAAGTGAATCTACTTTTCCACATACCCAATAACCGGGGTAACTATATTTTTGGAATTCGGGATACACTTAAGGTATTCGGGTGTCAAAAATGGAATTCAAATTCGTAAATATGAAAATAATGTATATTGTAAAAGCTTAAATACATAATACAGTATCTAAATACCAGGCCAGATTAGCCAATATGACTCCTTACTAAAGGAATATAATGTGTTGGCTCTTTTAAAAGTTGTTTACATTGCCTTTTTAAAAGAGCAATTTTGCTATCTGAATCATTTTGAGTCTGGAAAGTGTTGTGAAAGTCCTTTTCGGGACACCGGGACATTAGCAGTATTGGTGACCGTCCCTGAAAAACCAGGATGCATGGCAATCCCACCAATGACTACCACATATTAACCCTAATAACTACGTTACATTTGTCTTACTCTAATAATACAATTTTAATTTCTACTATGCATACATTTATTTACGTTTCATTTGAACAGATAGAATACAAGCAGTTATGTGCATATGTTTGAAAATGACTGGTGTAAAATACCTTTTGGAGATATACAAATTGTATAATTGTATAACCTGCTCAACCCTTTATAAGAACAGAGTCCGGGTATACAATGGAGTCTTTTCTCATTGTAGATTCTAGTCATAGTTACAAACAATGAATCTATAAACACGTGTCATTGTTTGTAGTGTTGGAGACCAAGAACGTGTGACTAAAGTCATATAATTAGCCCCACGTGTATGCTGATGTGTCAAAACTTCTATGCAGGCCTAGAAATTATATAATTTCATATTCATTTCAATGAACCACAATACTTATTGTGTAAAACAATTGCTGGATCATATTTGTTTCGTTATAACTGCAGAGTAGCAAAAGTGTTTATAAACATATTCTACAGTTACTTTGTTGTCATAACTGTGGTTTATCCTTAAGTCATGTCGAATTCAAACTGTGAACTTTAATTTCCACATTGTTGGGAACGTATTTCAATAAAAACTGTGTTATTTACGAGACGAGTTATTATTGAATTAATTGTAATAAATCATAACTTAACTCAAACTACATATTTTAATCTCATTTATGAAGAACCCTCCCTCATAAAGAAAGAACACTTAAAAATACCTAGACAGTACCCTAAATACACAGGTACTAATTTTTGCATTAAATATTTTTACTATCCCAAAGATGGTCAGTAAATATTCCTGCACAAACGTAAGATGGTGTGACTGTATTTTAAATCAAATTAAATTTAAGATCCCTTAGGAAACAAAAAGTGCAACCCTTCATATTTAATTTATGTTATAGTTATCCACCAGAAGAAGCAATAAGGATCTTTTTGTCACCCTAAGCACGTTTGGTAAAAAAAAACCCATCGAGTTACACTTTACACAATCGTGCCTGAATATCGACACGGAAAAGGAAATAAAATGTTTGAAATGAAAATTAAAAGGAACCGACTGAGTCCGGGGAGGCCGATCGGATATATTTGCATATGAATGCAGCTTCGTTAGAATTCCTCGCCCAACCACCAAGTCTGAAGGACACTTGCGGTAAATGAGACTCCTCCACCTTCACTGCTACAGTGCTACACTTCTGGCTTTATACTTCTGTTTGAGTTGAGGAACTGAATACTAAGATTTTTTTAAAATCATGGGAAAGAAAAACAGCGTTTATAGGTAAATGTGTCTAAAATTGAAATATATTTAATTTCGATTGGGCAAAGATTAATTTGAATATTATATAATATAATAGTATTCTTTCAACATTACCTATCTGAGATAAAAAAAAAACTGAATTAAAAAGATATAACGGTTCGTTCAGAAAATTGAGTAAAAGAAAGGAAAGAAAGCTTTGGTTTTTTATTAAAAGTACGTACATTATTTTATGTATTTTATCGTACTAAATCACTGTAGACCACAAATGTAAAGTATAATAAAAAAGAACATTTTTTCCCTTTTATTGGCATAACAATAAATTTCTTACAATTCTAATTGTGAGTAAATGAGTAAGCCGAAATTGAATTGTAACCATTCAATAGTCATTTTCATGATACTTTGCCTTAATTCAGCTAGACTAGGTTATTAAAGGCATTACTAAACTGTCCAGAAAAGTGCTAATTCTTACCCTATGCTGAATCTCATAAGATACATTTGATTTGTGTATTTACATATTATTGTTTTAATACTACAAACATGTTTTATTACCTTTTCATTAAAACAAATATTTTAAATTCGATTAAATACACGCCTTACGAACCCCTAGTCTTATCGTACGTTAAATTTGTCTGTGAGAAATGTAAATTTTTAATTACCTTACATATTTAATGCATTGATCAAGAACAGCTTAAAGTTCATGGTCAAATGTTAATAATGAAGTTAAATAACCTTAACACATTCTTACACTTTCGAAGCCTTTAGTAATTAATATCTATCACACTTCCAGTGTTAAGTAGTTTACTTAAACACCCAAAAACTTATGTAAACCAAATAAAATGTAAAGCGAATTACACAGGCCGTAACAAACAGGAATTCAGTTTAGCTTGTTTGGAGAATTCATTGGCAACAAATTACAGCAATTTTGTCCCGGTTAGCCCAAAACTCAAAGTAAATTGTTAATCCCCATAACTCTGCCCCAAACTGCCGTGCAGGCAAGTTTCTAATCTTGATTTATGATACCTCCCCCCCCCCCACCGCTTTAATCCGCTCCCTGGAAAATATTTAATACTACACAAAGCTTGTGGTGTTTTCACCATTAACTTGCAACCTTATTTATACTTCCTTAACGAGCGAGGTGTTTTCCCGTTCCCCGTGGTTTCTATCTGCGATTTTTCTTTCATTTCGTTTTGGTCTAATATGGTTTTTAAGCTCTATGTGAAATTAAAATTATAGTTATGTTTTATGACTTGTTGATTAATGTTGAGCTGGATTTTATGTTGGCTTTTTAAATTTGTTTACTTGAAAATCTAAAATGACAATTTACAAAACAATCACTACACTTCACAAACACACAGTGGGTTTGGTAAGTCAATCATTACAGATTTTTCGTATACATACTTGACTAACAGTATCGGTAAAGACTAAAAGTATCACTCGTAAAGAATTTTCAATGCCAGCTTATACAAAAGAAAGCAATTGTTTCCCAAGCTCTAAATTTAGAGATGGGGGAAAACGATCAGCTGATTTTCTCTTGATCTAAACTTTTTTCCTCATTTTCAATTTAACTATCCAACTGTCACTGTGCGCATTAGTGTTACTTTACATTTTATTTTATAATTCCGATTGGGTGTTTTTATCAACAATCCAAGTGTGAAAAGAAATAGGTATAATCTGTTTTGACTGTATTTTAGAGTTATGAGCGTCGTGATGAAAAGTAGTGTTCTTAACTTGTTCTGAAAGTGATTTTCCGGCACTTGCTTCAATTATTCCCGCCCTCGGCTTCTTCATCCCGTACATAAAACTTGAGCGTTCAATAGAAATTCTCCTTTTGGTTTTTGCAATAAAAAGTATATATATATTTATCGCAAAAACCTTAAATTGCTGATTGCATTTTTATATACACAAAAGTTTTAATATTTAAAACGATAAGATTTTATATATGAACTAAGACATGTTCACGTGTCCGTAAATATTCCGAAACATTCATCAATCACAGTTTCAGACATGTAAAATATTTCCAATACACGTGGTGCAGAGCGATGTAATAAAAGTATGGTGGACTCGTGCAATATACTCTTTTGTTACTTTCTTTGTCCACAAGAGTTCACTGAGCTCGCGTTTCTTTTGTTCTCAATCAATTCAGACTCTTTACTATTCCATATGACCAATAGTAGAGTTATTAGATTTGTAATCCTTCAGAACAATAAAAACTATGAAAATGTGAACTGTTGAATACTCAAAATTGGTTATGTGAGCTTGTTAACACACGTCATGTCGTATTTGGATTACACGGTAATATTGTATATGTAGAGATTTTAATGTAAACACTTTGATGTAAACACTTTTTTTATAAAATATAAACATATTGAGTGGAAACATGAAAATCAATAATTTTTTATGTTATAAATAAAGATAACCTGTATTTAGGGTACAGAAGTCAAGCTACGT